AGAGCGCAAACGGGGGAGGGCTAGAGAGAGAGGGAAACACAGAATCTGAAGCAGGCCCCTGGCTGTGAGCTTGCTGTCAGCACATGGCCTGACGCGGGGCTCAAACTCACGGACCGCAAGATCATGACCTGAGCCGAAGTTGGCCGCTCAACCGAGTGAGCCACCCAGGCGCCTCTTATCTTTTATTTTTTAATGTTTTTTTTCTTTTTTCTTTTTGAGAAAGAGAGGGAGACAGGATCAGAAGCAGGCTCCAAGCTGACAGCAACAAGCCCGATGCGGGGCTCAAACTCATTTACTGTGATCATGACTTGAGCCAAAGTCGGACGCTTAACCGACTGAGCCTCCGAGGTGCCCCTGAAATACCTTTTGAGTAAAACAATTTATTTCAATAGGAACTGTAGGGGCAACAGCAGACCTGAAATACAGGAAGGAAACAAGGATGTCTACGTATCTTCTTCGCACCTCCAGATATATTATCTGGCCCATCACTTTCATCTTCTCGGGGTCTCCAGGGGCTCCCAAGGCTTCCCGAGGCTTCCTGCTGGCACCAGGATGGACTGGCTTCCTTCTGCTTGTATACAGCTGTTGCCCTAAGACCATTCTGCACCATTCCCTGCATTCACTGCACTTCTTCCCAGAGTTGGGTCATGTCTTTCCATGACTGAAATCTTCCTTTTTCTTGATGTACTCACTTGTTTGTTGGGGCACGTTTTCCAGCAGCACACTGAGAAGGCCGCATGGGAGATCATTTGTTTTGAGACCACGTACAGCTGAAAATATCTGCCCTATCCTGACATTTGGCTGGTTATAAAAATGTAGGTTGGAAATAATTTTCCTTCAGAATTTTGAAGTCATGTGCTCTTGGGGTAGACCTATGTCCTTATCTTTGGGCCTTTGCTTTCAGGGCTGATCAAATCCTCCAGGTATTTTTATCTGGAGAATATAGGTCTGGTTTTCAACATTTTAAGAGCAGAATTGAGGGGGAAAAGATTGATGGTCGCAGCATTCAGTATGTAAACAACTCTTTGCTCTCTCTGTTTCTGGTGCAGTACATACCCACCCTCAAACGTGCCTGATATTCCCCTCTGTCCAGACCTAGCCTCAGTCTTACACCCTTCAGGGTGTAAATCACTTATCTTCCCCTGGCGCTGGGGAGGGCCTCACGGGGAGTCGCATAGGTACGTGGAGGCAGGACCTGGCAACTCGACTCCTTATCACTACCGTCACCCTGCGTGTGTTTTCTGCTCATGACTCACCCTCCTTTCACAGCTGCCCCTTACGACCAGTTCTCAGCCTCCAGGGGTGGGGTTGGGATCTTAAGTCAAATTTAGGTTCACTGCTAAGTTACAAACATCTTTCAGATGTCAAGTAAGGTCCCAGCTCTTAAACAAGACCTAAAAAGCATTCACTGTGAAAAAATTCTTCACGTTCTTCATCACCTTTAACAAAAGTGCGAAGCCTGCCGAAGGATTAGTATCAAGAATATAATACAGAACTCCCCCACCTCAATACAAAGACAATGAGCCCAATTTAAAAAAATGAACAAGAAACTTGAACGTAGCGCGTGTTTTGCAGAAGAGGAAACGCACGTGGCCACAAACAAGAGGAGATATTCAGCACCTGTGTGGCGAGGGTGCTGCGGCTGCAACCCCCAGGAGAGCGGTTCCGTGGGTACAGGAATAACAACGAAGCAAAGGAAGATCGAACCCAGGGTTTAGGGTGGATAGTCACTGCAGAGGGGTGAATGGGGAGAAGGAATGTGTGGGCAGGAGCAGGTGGAAGTCAAGGTCCCAGCTTTTGTTTTGGGTGGTAGGCTCGTGGGGTCCTTGTTACATTATTGAAAATAATTAGGTAATTAAATACATGAAAAAAATAAGCCTAATGGGGTGGGTCTCCCGAGGTGAAGTAGACAGAGATCCTTGCTCAGGTGGATCTCAGTTCTGTGGTTGTCTGTTTTGGTTTTTAAGAAGTCGTTCTGAACCCTGCAACAAGTGTTTTGTAGTTGAAAGTTATAAAAATATCTGTATATTAACCTAAAGTTAAGAAGCTACATTTCCCAGCTGGGGTTCATATGTTGATAAATAATCTACTTTATAGAGTTTTACTGCATAAATATTTACAGCTATGTCTGTTCTTTCATAGAAATTTTACATTTTTTTCCCTTTCTTAGGACAAAGTTAAACTATAACCCTCCAAAAGATGATGGATCAACCTATAAGATTGAACTTGAAGGGATATCGGTAATGGTTATGAGAGAGATCCTGGATTACATCTTCAGTGGGCAGGTATGATGAGACACACAGGGAGGAAGACTAAGGAGAAGCCTCTCAAGGTCAGGGTCTCCTTCATCATTCTGTGACGGAGCAGCCCCACCCTCTTCATCTGTCATTGTCCGTGTGGCGCGCCTCTCCTGCCGGGCGTAGTACCCAACTCTGTTCTTGCCGGGCTCTGTTCTTAAGAGCAGACCGGTTAGAATCTTCACCCCGTACCGGTTTTTGTATTCACCATTCCGACCTCCACCTTCCATCGTGAGAGAGGAAGACACTGGGTGCTCCTTCCACAGCTGTCTTTGTTTGTTTGTTTGTTTTTAAATCTTAATTTCCATCTTACTCTGTACCCATAGCCTGGAGATGGGAACTTCGTTGGGCGGTGGGAGTCTATTTGGTAGAAATAAAGAGTTCGAGATTTACTCTAATGGCAGGCACCTGTATTGTATTCATGATTCCTGGCTCCTGTTGCCTCAGTAGGACCAATATCCCTGCTGTACCCCGTTCTTGCCCGTGTCCCTTTGCCCTCTGTGCCCACTTACATTTCTGGGGGATTTAATGAAGCCCAGCGAAGAAAGTGAGTGATTAGACTTCTTTCTTTTTCTTCGCCATCGTCGAGCCCCTAATCCCTGATTACGTGGTTTGAAGTGTAGCACGAGGGCTCCTAAGGATGACCGCAGGTGTGCACCAGGGCTGGCTTATGACAGGAGGAACGTAGCATATCTTACGTTTAGTTATGTGAGAATGCATTTTATCTTGACTCTTTTTGAGAGCTTCTCTCCTACTCTCTCCCTTATTCCTTCCTCATCTTGTTTTACCTTTCTCATTTGTAAGAGCCATCGCCTCCATGTTTTCTAAGCATTCTGGACGCACTGCTTACCTTCTCTGAATATACTCATTTGGTCAACCTCGGTGATTGTCATTCCTTTTGAAGGTTTTGGGTTAATTTCATGATGTCCTCCCCTTCTCTTTTCTCTGAACACTCTTCTCTTTTCTCTGAGCGCTAGGTGTGTGTGTGTGGGGGGGGTGTGGGCATGTAAGGTTTTGTGGGTGATTGTTAAAAATAAATGAATTTAGATTAATTTTGGGATGGTCCTTAAAATACCAAAGCGTCACAAAATTGGGAGCATCACAAAACCAGGCTGAGGACCAGCCTCTCATCTCACTTTTAAAATCAGCTCAGCAGCAGCTATTATAAGTTATAAGCCAATAAGAGCATATTCCTTTTCAGGCTTGGATTTGAATCTTGAAACCTTATTTATAGATTGACTTCTGTGTTTTTTGTTCCCAATTTAAATTAATTATGGTTTAAAACCATAGTTGCAGCATAAGTTGTAACAAACTCTTGATTTGACAGTCTAGTCTTAATTGAGATGGAATTTACTGGTGTTTTCACATGCCTGTATCTGACTGGTGTACCACTAGCCGCTGTTTTGTGGCTGAATTGAATCCCTCAAGTAAAAGGGAAACGTTTCCTTACTTGTGACCTACTCGACACACTTCTTTCCACAGTTGTGTTGCTCGCTTTCTAAGGTGATTGGCAGTCGTACATTCTTTTTCTGCATCTGTGGTACAGAATGTGTAAAATGTTCCCTGTGGTCCTGTAACCTGGAATCCCTCCCTGTCACTTCCGAGGGTGGGAGAAGCATCCATTCTTGGGGAGAGGAGAATCTGGACTGTTGTGATGGTGGCAGTCTTGTAGAGACTTGTTTCTTTACGTCGCCTCCATGTTGCGTGCAGAAACTGTCAAGTGGGTGGAGGAAGAAGAATCAGAAGATTAAGGAAAAGCGAAATTCATAACGATAAACAAGAAATACTACCTTAGGGATTTCTGCCAGAGAGTACCTTTGAGACCAGAGTGCACAAGTCGCACCGAGTGCGATGTTTGGCATTGGGAATGAGGTTCTCGGGCAGCGTGGCCCTCCCCTCGCCAAGGGGCTAGAGTGGCGTGTCTGACGTGCCATCTGGCAAAAGATGGAATGTGATACATCTGGAGGCAAGATGTGCCACAGTTTCGGGGCTGGCATTTAAAGAAACCTCCTTCAGTTGACCACAGAATGCGGACCTGTACACTCCCAGCACATAGGCCTGGAAGTGAGCAGGGTGGACGGTTCGCCTGAGGAGGGTTCATGGTGGTTCATGTCGGTAAAGCAAGGGAAGCCCTGGGAAAAGTCAGCCAGCCACGTGCTGCTCATGTTTTGTGAGGGTTCACCGGGTGCCCTCGAACTCCTCTTGACGAAGAAGCCCTAGGCTGGACCATGTGACGTTGCCAATATTCATTCGATCATCTTTGACCTACAAAAGTGGAGCTTTCGTGTGGTTCAGCCTAATAGGTTAGCGGTTTGGGTTTTCAATCTGTACATTCAAATGTAAAATATTGATGGTACTCTTGCAGATCCGGCTGAGCGAAGACACAATCCAAGATGTTGTGCAGGCAGCGGACCTGCTCCTGCTGACGGATCTGAAAACTCTGTGCTGTGAGTTTTTAGAAGGCTGCATTGCCGCAGAGAACTGCATCGGTATCCGCGACTTTGCACTTCATTACTGCCTGCACCACGTCCATTACCTGGCCACGGAGTACCTGGAGACTCATTTCCGAGACGTCAGCAGCACAGAAGAGTTCCTAGAACTCAGTCCACAGAAGCTTAAAGAAGTGATTTCTCTGGAGAAGTTAAATGTTGGCAATGAAAGATACGTGTTTGAAGCAGTGATCCGATGGATAGCACACGATACAGAGCTAAGGAAGGTACCTGTGGGGTATAACATGGTCTAATTTGCCTTCTTACTTACCTGTGTCATTCATTTGTTTATTTAATCCACAGAATAGATGTGTTGTCTTTCCCCTTCAGCCTGACGAACTTACAAAGTTGTGATCTAAAAGATGTCTGTGGGGGGCTCCTGGGTGGCTCAGTCGGTTAAGCGTTGGACTTTGGTTCAGGTCATGATCGAACGGTTCGTGAGTTCGAGCCCCACATCGGGCTCTCCACTCTCATTGTAGAGCCCACTTCAGATCCTCTGTCTTCCTCTCCGTCTTCCCCTCCCCTGCTCACTCTTGCTCTCTCTCTCTCTCAAAAATAAGTAAAACATTTAAAAAAATAAAAGGTGTCTGTGGTACATCTTTGCATAGGATCATTGGAGCCATTGTTTTTTCAGACCACACTACAAAAGCTCACATAACTCGTAATATAGCAATGAAACCTTTAGTACTTGTAAGGAACGTGATCTCTCTTGTACAGTGTTTTTAATGGGAAAATGCATTTCAGGCTTAGGCTGGAGATTATAGAAATTCAGCGTCCCCACTCTTTTGTTCAGCATCCTTCCGTCCACCATTACTGGGCTAACCCGAGCGGGACTCTGACAGAGGCCATGGAGCGAGAGGGGGCACACAGGCTCTGGCAGATGAGTGAGGGGAGGGGGCTCTCCCTGGGTGATGGACACCATTCAGCAGAAGGCAGGAGAGCTCTCTGCCGTCTTCATGGTGATGCAGTTCTAGATGGGATGAGTCTGGGAGCAACAGCTGCAGAGGAAGGGTCTCAGAGAATATCAGGCTTTAGATCCACACTGTTTCTACACTGGGGGCCGGAGGAAATCACAGAGCTTTGAGTCCAATATTTATAGACTCCAGCATCGATTACTGTATGCGAAAAAAGAACTGTGTCAGGTTTTAAAGTAGTTTTCAGAATGTATCATTGCATTGTTAATTGTTCTCCGTAACTGTTGACTGAGGTTCTAGTGAAAATTCTGTAGGGCCGTTGGGGCACCTGGGTGGCTCAGTCAGTGGAGCATCTGAATCTTGATTTTGGCTCAGGTCATGATCTCACGGTTTGTGGGTTCAAGCCCCACATCAGGCTCTGCTCTGACAGCGCGGAGCCTGCTTGGAATTCTCTCTCTGCCCTTCCCCACTCACGTTCTCTCCCTCTCTTTCTCTCTCTCTCAAAATAAATTAAAAAAAAAACCTTTTAATTCTGTAGGGCTGTTTAGAAATGATGGACTACTATATTATAGATAGAAACTCTTACATGGTATGATACAGAAATACACGCTGCTTTATGGTTATGGTCTCAGTGCGGTAGTTAGCGCTCTCTTTTTCACGTTAGGCAGGTGGATGAGGAAAGGAGATAGGAGTGTTCTCAGTTCGCTGCTGCTCGTGGAGACCACCGTCACTAGCTGCCCCTTCCTTTCTTCTTCAAGTGATGAGGTTGCCAGGGAAACAAGAGGCATTTCTTCCTCCTTTGGTTCGAAGACTTACAGACTTCATATCTTAAAGGCTGTTATGTATGACTCAGGATACAGAAGAGTATACTCTAAAACGACTGTTGCCAAATCAAGAAAAACTCTTCATTAAGGAGTTTCGCCTCGTGTGTAGAATGCTGCCGTCAGCTCAAGTTTAATGATCCATCGTGAAAAGTATATAATTCATACTATACATGTTAGATATTTTTTAACAATAATAATTGAAGAAATACAGAGTACTCAGGATTCTTCTGAACTTTTGCTTTTCTATATTTTTCTTGTAATACTTTTTTATTTTTTTTTTTATTTTACCATTTATTTATTTATTTTTGAGAGACAGAGCATGAGTGGGGGAGGAGCAGAGAGAGAGGGAGACACAGAATCTGGAACAGGCTTCAGGCTCTGAGCTGTCAGCACAGAGCCCGATGTGGGGCTCGAACTCATGGACCGCGAGATCATGCCTGAACTGAAGTCAGACGCTCAACTGACTGAGCCACCCAGGCGTCCCAATCTTGTAATATTAATGTTGGTCCATTTTCATTGCCTGTTGCACCATATCAAATCAAGCTATTACTGTGTGTAACGTTTCCGTAAATGTGATTGAACTCCCAGCACATCCAGCCGTGTGAAATAAGGCCACTCCAGCCGAGCTCCAAGGTTTCCCGTTGGTAAGGTGACCCTTCAGGGTGTAAAGAAAGCCACTTGAAACTTCTCGGTGCCGTATCAGATATAAATCTGAACTGATTATTTTTCAAGTTAAACTTGTATTATTTTTTAAGGCCGTGGGAAGTAGAAAGGAAAAGGGCCGGTAAAGCATATTCACGCGGCGCCCGCGCTTGTGACTTGCCCGCCGATGAGCTGTTAATCATTTTAGGTCTCCGTGAGCCAGAAGAGGGATGTTCTAAACACCATGTCCTACATCCTTCATTGTTTTTCTCCCCATTCTTTCTACCCTGTCGTGCAGGTCCACATGAAGGATGTGATGTCAGCGCTCTGGGTTTCAGGGTTAGACTCCAGCTACTTACGGGAACAGATGCTGAACGAACCGTTGGTGCGAGAAATCGTCAAGGAGTGCAGCAACATACCGCTGAGTCAGCCGCAGCAGGGGGAGGCCATGCTGGCGAACTTCAAGCCGCGGGGTTACTCCGAGTGCATTGTGACTGTGGGTGGAGAAGAGAGAGTGTGAGTATTGGACGTGAATCGTTTCAACAGTCGTGTAAGGGGAGAGCTATTTCCACGCGAGCAGGGATTCATAGTGTTGTTTTTGGTATCTAAGCATCATAGCAATAGAGTTTTAAAAATGTTTTAAGCGTTCTCTAGAGCAATGAAACTAGTCATAGTTATTGTAAGCAGAACTATATAAAGCACTTTAACTGCTAATCAATTATTTATTTCCTTAGTTCCCGGAAACCAACAGCAGCGATGCGATGTATGTGCCCTCTTTATGACCCTAATAGGCAGCTTTGGATTGAACTGGCCCCTTTAAGCATGCCAAGAATTAACCACGGAGTTCTCTCAGCAGGTACCATTCTGTGGTCAATTTTACTTAAACACAAGATCAAGTAATATGTAATTTCAGGGTTGTACAGAATGACGCAAAACCTTGTAGAGATTTAATTTGAATTTTAAGAGATAATTGTATTATCTCTATGGTGACATCTTCTGTCTAGCTCTAGCCTTCGAGACTCTGTAAGGAGGAGAGTGTCTTCTGTCAGTCTTTATTGCTCCTGAATCTCTCATACCGAGCTATTTTTGAGAATTTTAGTAGAGGAGCATTTTACCTGATGATGTAACTGATGGAAAAGCAGGACTCAGTGACTCTTCCCGTCAGTTACCTGTGTGGCCACACCCTGAATACAGAATTCCTTTGAGCCACGCCAGCCCCATTTTTGAAATTCATGCCATTCAGAATTATAGTAACTGTATCAAAAGTAAAGCTGTTATGTGAAAGCCGGCATTTCGTGTGAGACTTCAGAAAATATTACTTTCCTTCAAAGGCTTCAAATTACATTACAATAGAAAGTATCTTTCACTGACCTTTGCAAGTTTGAAAACAGCTCCACACCATTCAAAGCCCTCCCTCGAGGTGATGGGAAAGGTTGTACTTGCTGCCTTCTGACTGTTGGCTGCTTTTCTCTGCACTTGGACCTGCCCGCTTGGGTTCACCCGCAGGTGCCATTTCACTAAATTCTAATTACTGTCAATCGTCTTCCTGGAACCCCTCTTCTTATATAGTCTCTGCTTGCCCGCTACCATTGCTTTCAAGATTTTGAAAGCTGTACCAGATTATAGAGCTGGCTAAAGCTAAACCAGAGGACAGAAGTGGAATCATTTTGTGGGTTCCAAGATTATTGAAGTTAATTGTTAGGAATAAGCAGCGGGAGGCAGCAGTGTAGCCAACAGGATGTGGGTCTGACTTCCCTGTTCTGTCTTCTCAGAATTAGCTTCCTCACATTTTCTTCCCATAGTATGTACATATATTCGTGATTTTCACACACGCACACCCACCACTGTGGTTCCAGTGTCATGGATTTTCCAAGATTTCCTGGAGGGGTTGGTGCTTCAGAAACATTGAACAGTGAGGATGGGGTTGTGTCCAGCTGTAGTGAGTGTGGCTGTGAGGTGACCGAGTGGTTCCTATTCCTGCCCGCACCCCCTCTTTTTTGCTTTAACTGATGGGCTTTTTTTTTTTTTTGTCGTTTACTTTTTTCCCTCTCTTCCAGGTTAGAAGTTATAGTCTTTGTCTATATTCCTTTGAAAGTCATCATAGAAACCATAGCCTATATTCTTAAGTTATCAAAGCCTAAGTGCATTTCTGCTGTTTTTCATGTTCCACAGTCTTGCAGTATTAAAATAGGACTTTATGAATAAATATTTACATATAAACATGTTTTATTCATCTATGTTTTATATATGTATCTATGGAGTGTCTGTTTACTGGCCTATCCACCACTTTCTTTGTTTTTCTTTCTTCTTCTTCAGACCTTCCATCTAGGATTATTTTCCTTCTCCCTGAAGTTCATCCTTTTGAATTTCCCTTAATGTGGGTCTACGGGTAGCAAACACTTGGATTTGTATGTCTAAAAATGTCATTATTTTGACTTCATTCCTAATGGATACTTGTGCTGGGTATAGAATTTAGGGCATCTTAACTCTGTGGCTTGGCCTTTCCTCAAATGTGGAAAATTCTTATTCATGTTCATGTCTTTAAATATCGCCTCTCTTCCATTGTGCTCTCTCCTCCTGCGTTTTGGAAGTCTGATTAAACATGGCTACTCCTTTTTGCTCTGTCCTCAGCCTCCTGCTGTCATTTTGTTTTGTTTTCCATGTTTTTGTCTTTCCATGTGTTGCCCTCTTTGTGATTTCTTTTGATGTACCCTCCATTTAATGAGTTCTCTCTTTAACACTGACAGATCTGCCATTAAACCAACCTACTGGATTTTTTTTGTAATCTAGTTTTTTTTTCTTTTTTATTCCTAGAAATTCTCTTTAGATCTTTTTTAAATCTGCCATGTCACTTCTGTAGTCCCCTTTTCCCAAGAGTTATATTAAAATTTGTCTTTCAGTTTTTAAACATAGTAAGCTTTGTCATTTTGTTGGCTTTCTGATTAGTCCAGTATTTGAAATTTGAAGTCTCTGCAAAGCTGCTTCCTATTGTCTTCTATTGCCGGTTCTTCTTCATAGTCTGCTTTCTATGTCCTAGTATCTTTGGGTGGGTGCTGATCATTTTATTAAAAAGTGTTCATAGAAATAACTTGGTGCTCTAGAATCTTAGAATATCCTAATCTAAAGATTAGATAAAGGTACTTTCTTCCACACAAGTTTTACGTTTGTTTCTTCCAGTTGCCTGTAAACACTACAAATTTGGAATTACTGGAAACCAGATGCAAACCCTGAGGTCTTCCAGACAAGCAAGGAGATTTAAATCTCGGTTCTGGTTCTGGTTGAACTTGGGAGAGGCTCCCCTGCCAGAAGCCACACTTTCTATGGGCCTGGGGTTTTGATTTCTGTCTTTTTCATGCCCTCAAAGCGTTATAGGATAGGTTGGAAATTTCCCAGATTGGTAAATGCCCTCAGAGCAAAATGGTTTCCATGGTTGGTAACCTCTCCAGCTCCCACTTTATCTCAAGCTTTGCCATACTGTCCTGTTGGCTTCTTCTCTTTTCAGAAGATTATTTCATTTCAAAACTGTTTGGTCTAGGAGGTTAGCTGTGTTGCACAAGAATTGGTATAAATAACCGGATCCACCATTACCTGAAACAGGAAGTTGAACAGTGACTCTTAGATCCTGTCTTGAATACGAAGTGCTCACGGTGCCCTGGATCTGAGTGCTCCTGGGTCTTGAACGAGCTGACGTGGGCTGTAGATGAGAAGCCGTTTGAGAGTCACAGAGGGGAAATAGAATTGATGCAGCTGCCCAGTGTCTGCATGGGCGGTGTCAGTCTTGATTGTATGCTGTAGGGCAGTGGGAACGCACTCGGGTGCTGAGGGAGCTACAATAGTCATAGTGACTCTCAGATGTGATTAGGCTCCCTCACGAAGCATCCAGTGAATTGTGATCAAGACCTCACACCCACTGCTGTTGTACTTAGAGAAGTTGTCTCCACATACTGTCTCTACAGCTGGGGCATTTATATTCGGCAGGAGGGGGGTGGAGACCAAAGTTTCAACTTCCTTGTGTGTCTCATTTGATTTTTGCAGAGGGATTCTTGTTTGTATTTGGGGGCCAAGATGAAAATAAGCAGACCCTGAGCTCAGGAGAAAAATACGACCCAGATGCAAATACGTGGACTGCATTGCCGCCAATGAATGAGGTAAAAAGCTTTTTCATTTGCTTTGATAGGGTGTCTTTCTTCCCTTTAGCGCTTTTGTTTTGCATTTGCAGAGATGTAAGAGGAGAAGCAGGGAGCCTGCCACACGCCCCCCACCCCCACTATGCTAGTGCCCACCTTCCCGCTCCTCCCTGTGCCTTTCTCCAGCCTACGCACGCTCTTGCTTTGGGACCTTTCCCAGATGCCCTTGCACCTCGCTCCTTGTTTCCCACAGTGTCCGCACAGCACTCTCCAGGAGGCCTTCCGTCGGCCCTTCAGCTCCCACCACACTTCCTGTTTTCTTTCTCTTCGTGAGGCACAGCACCTTCTCATGTGCTGGGCATTTTTAGTGTTCACACGAACTCCTTGGTGGCCGGGGATTTTGTCTGTGTGCTGAGGGCTCTATCTTGAGTGCTGCGACGATGCCGGGCACAGCGGGGACAGCGGGGACGCTAAGGAAGTATTTGCTGGCAAACGAGTGTGAGCTACCTCAGGCCTCTGTCATTCCAGATGGCCTTAGCGTGAGCCTGGCCTCCCCATGCCTCTCCCAGCCTCAGGCAGCGCTGTTGCTGTGGCTCTTACTTGGCTTTCACACCAACCTGGAAACACTTAACTAAACACAGATAATTTTATTGACCCAGAAGGTACTATTGTTGTGAGCCATGACGAGTGAGAAATAATGATTCTGCCAGTGAATTTATCACATGGGTGATTCCCTTATTCGGAATCGCTCCGGGATGGGGGTTCTTTGTCTGTTGTGGCAGAAGGGTGAGCTGCCAGGGAAATCACAGATATCTGAGAGAGAAGGCTTTGAGCCTGGAATTCTGGAAGATCATGGTATCTGTAATTTGTAATAGCGTGTGGCTACCTGCTTTCAGTCTGGCAGTTGGCCTTCCGTATGCAGAGACCTTTGCTGTCTTTTCAGCCGCGGCATAATTTTGGAATTGTGGAGATAGATGGAATGCTGTACATTTTAGGAGGAGAAGACGGTGAGAAAGAGCTGATCTCCATGGAGCGCTATGACATTTATTCTAAAACCTGGACAAAGCAACCTGACCTGACCATGGTTAGAAAGGTGAGAACCACATCTTGGGATTACTCGTTGGGTTTTAAAGTTAACATTGGCTCGTTTCCCACACACGCCCTTTAGTAGGATCAACAGCATTAGAAGAATGAGTGTTGCGAACTTCTGTCGCTGTCGGTGGCTCGCCTCTGTTACCAGCCGTCCGCCAGGATAGCGTGTGAGTGCTCACCCTGATGGTGGGCCCTGCGGTGTCCACACCCATGCTTGCCAGGTGTGTCCTGAGGGCGCTGTCCTAGGAAGCGAGCAGGTCTTCCAGACCTGTTTTCTCAATCATTGTTCAGGCCCGAAGAGACGCAGTCTGCAGGCAAGAACCGCCGTTGCATACTGAGTAGAGTGAAGACACGGCCCCCGTTCGCTGGTGTGGGACGGAGGGGCTCTTGATCACGCCAGACCTTCGGGCAGTCCCGTGGGTATTTACAGCTCAAGTGCTGGGTTCCCACTATTGGTGCCTGCTCACTTTGGAGCGGGAACTAAGTGACATCCATTCAAGATGGAATCTAAATCTTGGAATCTTCAAAGAGTGGTGCAAGAATGGAGAGCCTGGAAAGCCCCCTTAACAACTAGGCTTTGGGCGCCCGGGTGGTTCAGGTGGCTCAGTCTGTTAAGTGTCCGGCTCTTGATTTCGGCTCAGGTTATGGTCACACGGTTTGTGAGATCAAGCCCCGCATCAGGCTCTGCATGGACAGTGTGGAGCCTGCTTGGGATTCTTTCTCTCTCTACCTCTCCTCTACTTATGTGCTCTCTCTCTCTCTCTCCCTTCCCCTCTCTCTCTCTCTCTCTCTCTCTCTCTCTCAATAAGTAAATAAATAAATAAACTTTAAAAACTTAGGGTATTTGTCTATCTCAGTGTAATAGTATTAGATGGAGTTTAACAAACACTATGTGTGCTTCCTCCTCTTCTCGTTTTTAAAATCCTGTGTTTGTCAGGTTGGAAAACACCATAGTTTGACTATTAAAAATCAGATCCTTGGGGCGCCTGGGTGGCTCAGTTCGTTAAGCGGCCGACTTTGGCTCGGGTCATGATCTCACGGTCCGTGAGTTCAAGCCCCGCGTCGGGCTCTGTGCTGACAGCTCAGAGCCTGGAGCCTGTTTCGGATTCTGTGTCTCCCTCTCTCTGACCCTCCCCCGTTCATGCTCTGTCTCTGTCTCAAAGATAAATAAACGTTAAAAAAAAAAAAAATCAGCTTGTCTTTAAAAAAAAAAATTAAAAATCAGATCCTTTCACAGATACCCTTGGGTACCCTCTAGACTAAAGGTAGCCTTTGTCTAACTTGAATAATCAGTCTTGCCTCCCCTCTGTTGCTTTCTCCTTTCAGATTGGCTGCTATGCAGCTATGAAAAAGAAAATCTATGCCATGGGCGGAGGATCATATGGAAAACTCTTCGAATCTGTGGAATGTTACGACCCAAGGACCCAGCAGTGGACTGCTATTTGTCCGCTAAAAGAGAGAAGGTAGGAGAGCGTGGACGTGGACTTTGTAGATCCCCCCCTTTCTTTCAAATGAACCTTTGTCTTGACTTGGCATTTGGTTTCTCTAAAAGTAAATGAGGGGCACCTGGATGGCTCAGTCAGTTAAGCGTCTGATTTCCGCTCAGGTCACGATCTTACGGTTCATGAGTTTCAGCCCCACGTCAGGCTCTGCGTTGACCGTGCGGAGCCTGCTTTGGATCCTGTCTCCGTCTCTCTCTGCCTCTCCCCTCCCCCGCCCACTCTCTCTGTCTCTGTCTCTCTCTCTCAAAAATAAATAAAGGGGGAGGGGAAGGGAGGGAAGTTACAGAGAGGGAAGGAGGCAAACCATAAGAGACTCTTAAGGCCTGAGAATAAACTAAGGGTAGATGGGGGTTGGGGGAGAGGGGAAAGTGGGTGATGGGCAATGAGGAGGGCACCTGTTGGGATGAGCACTGGGTGTTGTATGGAAACCAATTTGACAATAAATTTCATATTAAATAAATAAATAAATAAATAAATAAATAGATTTTTAAAAAAGTAAATGAAGAATCCATTTCCTAAAAAGGAAGACCGACATATTCATGAAACCCTGTATGTCATGGGGTTACAACAAACATAAGAGGAGTTAGGGAATCAATCCATTTACAACCATGGGTTGTAAATCCAATAGCTGATATGCTCTGTGTGGTCTTTCAGATTTGGAGCTGTGGCCTGTGGAGTTGCCATGGAACTGTATGTTTTTGGGGGAGTCAGAAGTCGTGAAGACATCCAGGGCAGTGAGATGGTCACTTGCAAGTCTGAATTCTACCACGATGAGTTTAAAAGGTAATTATGAGCGGTTTCACCTAACTTCTGCAACTTTTCCTTTACGCTTTCAAAGTCATGTCTTAGATTTGTTTCGTTTGGTTTTCAAGTTACTTTACTGAATTATCTCATCCATTTAGGACATATGCCTAATGCCCACTAGATATTTACTCTGACTTCAGAAGTATTTCTAACCTAAAACCATTGAAAAGTGTTTCCGAAATCTGTATCAGACCTCGATCCTTGGTTACTTAAAATCATTTTTGGCTATAAAAAAAGCTATACCTTTTAAAGTTTAAACTCATTAACCTAGCATGTATGACCTAGCATGATACGGCCTTTGTCTATTCTCTCTGCTACTCTTCCACACAGATGCTTTGCTTGAGTCCTGCCGAGCAGCATTTTCGCCCCAAACACGTTATGATGATCTCAGCTCTGTGCTGTTGTACTATTCCTTTTGCCTAAAATTTCCCTTCCAATATTTATCCAATTAATATGGCCTTTTCCGAGACTGTGCTTGATGGTCTGCTGCCCGGAGAAAGCCTTCTCACACCTCTCGGTCCGATTTAGGTTCCTCAGTCTGTGATGCCGGGACATTCAATTCATGTCTCGTGGATTGCATTCGTTAACCCTAAGGTTCTTAGGGGCAAGATTCAGCTGACCAGCTCTGGATCTTAGCTTCAGCAGCACACCTTACCTGTGTCAGCTGCTCAATGGAAGGTTGGTTCTGTGGATGGAAGTGTGGTATCAGTCTTCAAGCGTCTGATAGGTTGCCATACCTGTCTTGTAGAGTGGGCACCCTCCCACCCGCCCCCTCCCCTTCTCGCCTCTCACACATCTTACTGTGATAGCCACTAAACAGGACTATTCCCTTCAAATCCTAGAGGTCATGGGAAAATTCGTCTTGTTACGGGATTTCAACCGTGTTACCAGAAGGGGGTGCTATCATGCAACGTTTAATTTCTTACCGTTTTCGATTAGGGCAAACAAGGTGCAGTTTCCAAGACTTTAGAGATAGAAATAAATGTCACCTAACTTTTAACGTATTTTATATTCAGGATATTTGTGTAGCCTTTTTCCCTCCTTCAATTATAGGAATAGACAGTGTTAGGAAAATTTATTAGACAAAGTTTGAGAGCAATGGAGAGAATGTCTGCTGTGGGGTTAAGGTGGGGGGTGGGGGGCAGAATTTCAAAGACTTTCTACATTTCTCTTGATACATTACTGTGAGGGCTGACTGTCCAAGGTATAAAGTACTGTGTTAATTCCTGCCCAACTGAATCTTGAGACCGTCTGCTCAACTTGACTTACAAGCACTGGTCAGTGCGTTTGATTTCTGGTAAAATACTGACACGCACCTTTTTCGTGATGACCGAGTTACTATTTAGGCAGCGTGAGCTATAGGATGCCGCTTGTCTGCTGGAGTAATTAAGGCTGCTGATGCCTCACTCTTCCCTGTCCCTGTTGGTTTATAGGACTTAAATCTGGCTACACAGTTTCTCAGTCTGTCCTTGATATGCTGTAAATCACTAGAACCTTTATATTTCTTTCAGGCTGTTTCATATTTGTAGTTAATAAGCTTGAATGTAAGTGTATTAGTTGCTTTCAGTTCGTAAGTATTAGACATAAGAGTATGGCTCCTTCCTTGCTACTTAAAAGCACTTCCAAATAAATTCAGGGATTGTTAGTTTCCTTCTATCTAAGCTGTCCAATGTTAGTTTTTTGTTTTCTAATGTTTATTTACTTATTTTGAGAGAGAGACAGAGAACATGCATGTACAAGCAGAGGAGGGACACAGAGAGAGGGAGAGAGAGAATCCCAAGTAGGGATTCTGTCACCATAGAACCCAACACAGGGCTCAAACTCACAAACTGTAAGATCATGACCTGAGGGGAAATCAAGAGTCAGATACTTAACTGACTGAGCCACCCAGGCACCCCTGTGCATTGTTAGTTGTTTTTTTTTGTTTTTTTTTTTAAATTTTTTTTTTCAACGTTTATTTATTTTTGGGACAGAGAGAGACAGAGCATGAACGGGCAAGGGGCAGAGAGAGAGGGAGACACAGAATCAGAAACAGGCTCCAGGCTCCAAGCCATCAGCCCAGAGCCTGACGCGGGGCTCGAACTCACAGACCGCGAGATCGTGACCTGGCTGAAGTCGGACGCTTAACCGACTACGCCACCCAGGCGCCCCTGTTAGTTTTTAAAGTAAGCTCAAGGCCCCATGTGGGGCTTGAACTCAAGACCCCGAGATCCAGAGTCAATGCTCTACCCACCGAGCCAGCCAGGCGCCCGCCAGTGTTCTTTTTTAAATAATAGAATGGGGAAAGCTGAATTTCTCTTGTCAGTATGACATCTACGATTCTTACTTGTTTAGGTGACACTAGATATATACATAACACTAAGTGCCGTGGATTAACTCGTTCATAACTCATTCGGTCTTCAAAAAGCAACCCTCTGAGTATCGGTGCTCCTTTTCTTCCAATTTTACACCGAAGCACAGAGAGGTTACGTAATGTGCCCGAAGACACACAGGTCTCACAAGTGGTGGGGCTGGAATTTGAACTCAGGCACTCTGGCCGCACAGTCACCTTTCCAGCCACCGCACCGTATGGCCTTAAAACACAGGCTTTCCCGTAAATCTCTACAGGAAGAAAGTTACATATAGCAGTAGTTTATTTCTCAACAGAGCAGATGTTTCCAAGTATGTTATATTTGCATACCATGGAAACTGTTGCCAGATGAGCAATCTGGGTTAGATTGGAGAACATTTATTGTTTTTAAGTAATCTCTTGTCTTTCCTGTCTTTGTTCCCTATTTTTAGGTTAAAACTTTCCTGGAAAAATGCCATATCGTATTTTCTGTGTTTCTGACTAAAAACAAAACTGTTTGAAGGAGAGCAAAGAAATTGCCCTAACTCATGCCATGTCGTAGTAGCCACTTTGTGAATCCAGAATGACAGGCATCCCCTACTACTGCGCCCGGTGTCACAGCTCCCTCACTAGTCCTGCCACCCTCCCAGTTACCCACACCCCAAAAAGCTCATCTTCGATTCTGTCTTGTGCTTCACATCTCATCCGTCGCCCAGTCTTGTCCCCTTTTTTTAGACTCTGGCATATTTTCCACATCACCCGCCTTCATTTCTCTGCTCCCGCCCCACTGTGTCCGTGCCGTCCTGTGTGCAGCATCATTAGCCTTCTAACCAGGTTTCCTGTACTTGTTCCCTGTTTGTGTTTTTGAAAGATGAATCGGACTTTGGTCGTTGCACTCTCCCGCTGGAAATTCGTGGTATTTCCCCACTGCTTACCAAACAGAGATGGTAGTGTGTTCCCCCCTGCTGGGGCTCCCTGCTCTCTGAGGTTAAGAGAAATGCTCAGCCTTTTCCAGCCCCTTCCTTCCGTGTCCTGCACTCCAGCCCCCTTCTTTACGCATCCCGTGTTTGACGGCCTCCCCACGTGCGTTCAGCCCGGATGCCCCCCTTTGGTTTCTATAGACCAGTCATAGTGACTGTTGAAGTCAAGGCCTGTCGGTTTCACGTTTTGATCCCTGAACGTGTAGTTGAGCAGACTTACTTGACAGCCGGTGGAGTCCCGTGTTGGTTCTCTGACCCGCGGGGTCGGGGGCCATTGTGGTAAGAATGGCTAAGGGAAGCCCTCTGTAACTTTCCTTCCCTACCACGACGGAAGACCGGAAGCAGTTCTGCCCCATTGAGCAATTGACAGAAATTGGTTCCGCCATCAAAGACTTGAAAATGCAAGAGTGGGGCTACCTCTACGTCCCCACTTAATTCGCCTAAAAGGTAGAAAAGGCAGGTGGATTTTGGACAACAGCCGTGTGCTTTCATAAACGTAATCAGATGGTTACACGGATCACAGACTTAGTCCCAGATGTAATATCTTTATGCGGATGTTGTGTCCTTATGCAACGCGGTCCCCGGCCTTGGTATGCTGCTGTTGACCTAGCTCCTGCTTTTTCTTCATACCGATATGCAAGGACTCCCAGAAGCAGTTTGCCCGGCAGGGCCAGTGGTACCCCTGCACTGCCTGGCCTCAGAGCCACGTCAGCCCTGCTGTCTGCCCTCTGTTAGTCCGGGGGAATTTTGATCATCTTGGTGTTCCATTAAGACATCCTATCGGTCTGCCCCTTGGCGTTATGCTGTTTGAATCTGATGGTTAGGAAGTAGCCTTTGTAAGACACCGGGAGATGGACCGCACTCCTGACCAGATCTGTTTCAGCCGTGGCCCAGTCAAGGGGCAGAAACCACACCAGTCATCTGAACAGGGAAGACGTAATTCACACGATCACTCACTAGTAAGAGGTGGTTAACTGCCGATGGGTGAAAGAGAGCTCTGAGGAGTGCAGAAATAGCTAATTTGGGCGGTGCAGCCACTGCTACCTTTAGGGCTGAGGGAAGTAGCCTAAGAAGGAGCATGTTGGGAAGAGAGAGGCCTCCCCACCCTGCAAGGGTGCACCGTGGCTACCGCGTGCAGGGCGCCGGGGAGCTGGGGGCAGAGCTGGTGTGCAGGAAGTGGCCTGCTGGGTGGCAGAGGACCTTGCTGAGGGCAAGCACCTCTGGGCCTCCTGCCTGCAGCCCGCGGGAGGAAGGAAAGAGGCACACCAAGCCCGGGAAAGAAGCCCTTTCCCCTACCTGGCCTCGCGGTCCCTCCAGCGCCCCCTATTGGCAAAGCCTAACACGGAGTTCATCTTTTCAAGGCCCTTCATTTTCTCCACTGTGTTTTGCTCTCATGTACTGTTTCCTTCTTTTGACTTACTTTGGGTTGTGCTCTTCCCTTGCCAGATTCTTCAGGTAGAATTTTAGATTTCTTCCTTTCTTTGCCGAAATCTCCTATCTTCTCGGAAGCATGTTTCCCTTTCTCTCTGGAGCGTAGTTCCTCTGGCCATGTTCAAGTCCCCACCTGATAGATCATCCCGACACCCCGGGCACGTCAGAGTTGGTGTCTGTTTATGGTTTGTTCCCTTGAGAATGGGTCCTCCTTTCTCTGGCTCTTTGTCGGTTGAGTAATTCTGGGCTGCGTCCCGGACATCGTGAATGGTACGTTGTCGGGGCCCCGAGGTCCTTTCTGGTGCTGTCAGAGCATTGCGCTGACAGTTTTAGCAGCCACGCACCTGGTGGGATTCCTTGGAGGCTGTAACACCTGCTGCACACAGCCGCTCGAGCCCGTCTTCAGTTCCGGAGGCCCACCTCAGGTTCAAGTTCTCACGGTTCCAGGCTCACGGACTCAAGTCTGCCTTTGGCCCACACTACCAGACCACTGGCAGGCTCCCTCCCTGGGGTTGTGTGCTCGACTCTCACCTTCTTTCCACAAATCTGCCTGCTTTGGCTTAGTCTCCAGAGCCGTCGGGCAGTGGTCTTTGGTCTCTTGCCTGGAGTTTATGGCACCTGCTTTCTCCCAGGGGGATCAGCTTGTTAAGAGCTTCCTTCTCCCTCCTGGAAGCAGAACCTCACTAAAGCTCCCTCTGTCTTTCTCCTCTCCAGTTGATCGCCCGTCCCTCTCCCCTCTTCACTGTCCCTCCTCCCCCGACCTTCCCTCCTGTCCTGCTCTCTCTAAAGCTCACTGACACAAGCCAGGCTATATTCTGAAGTCTCCTTCACAGGGGACATTGCTCATTCTAAGTTAGCAGAGGACTGTCCTTGCAGCCTCAAGTCGTCATAAGACCGTGTTTGAAAACATTGTAACTAAAGGCATACCACTGCCCTGTCCGTTACAAAAATGACTATCACTCTGGGACGGCCGCTAGGTGCTAGCCGCTGTGCAAAGCACTTTACACTGGCCACTTGAGCTCATGCCCACAGGTCATTCGATGTCAGTGGGGGTGTTTGGTCTCTGCATTTGACACATGACAGCTAAATTGTCCAAGGTCGACGAGGTGCTAGATGGCAGAGAAAGAAAGGCAAAACCGTATGCCTTTTATTCCTGTTTTGTTTTTTTTAATGTGTCTTTTTGGGGGGAAAGGGGCAGAGAGAGAGGGAGACAGAGGATCCAAAGCAGCCTCCCTGCTGCCAGCGCCGAGCCTGATGCAAGGCTCCAACCCACGAACTGTGAGATCATGACCTGAGCTGAAGTCGGACGCGTAACCGACTGAGCCACCCAGGTGCCCGTTTTATATCCGTTTTACAAGCAGCAAGTAAATACATGATGCACTTAAGTTTTTGTATCAGTTTTCTTTCATCTGAAACATATGAAATAGATCACCTAGGATTATTTGTCTGAAACCCAGGAACTCTGAGTCATTGATCCGCTTTGGACCAAATTTGGTAGATCATCTACATAGACCGATTGCCTCAGCTTTGTTTAATTATTCCAGGGAGGAATAATGTGAGATTCTCAACTCTACAAAATTATGCCAAAATATTGTTGTGTTCTGATGTGCTTTTCAGTAAATAATCTAGTCACAGATGTTCAGTCAGCAGTGCCGGTTACCCTCGTGCGGATACACATGGCCCCGTCATGGATTCGCCTGGAGGGGTCATGTGCCTCCCCACTGGCCTTGGTCCTGGATGTAGGGTGCAGCTGGAAACAAGGCCTGGGGACACTCACTGGCTTCATTTGATTCAGAACCTGGGAAGAATTGAAATGTCAGGGCTTCAATATTGATGTTTATCCCTAAAGACATAAGATGTGAATAAGCCAGTTACTGTAGTTTGACGTTTTCAGACACTTTCTTTCAAAGGCCTGTTCAGGTCCCCATTTTGACTTTTCAGGGAGAGCTCTTGGATGTTTCCGTTTCCCTATTTCCTAGAGACATTTTGGGAGCAGGGACCAAACCATTCCTAGTCCCAGCAAACTGCTGGGTACCAGTCACCATTCAGATGTAAGATGAATCAAATGTTGCACGAAGGGCTTAAGACTCTGGCAGCCTTACATTAGCCTTGCTTTGCAGTGGTTATGTGATCTCGGAAGGTCCGTGCTTCTTAGAATTCCAAATACGGAAGCTGCTGCTTTGTAACAATCTGGGAAGAGTTCTTTGAAAGGAAAGTGCTGTTCTTAGAGAAACAGTTTCACATTTGTATTTAACACGGAGATGCGCTGGGTCTCAGCCGCCGTCTCCCCGGACACTCGATAGCACAGAGTTGGAGATACAGGAATAACGTCCATACGCCCTGCGCTCCAATAACGAGTGTAGGCCTGGGCGTGGTAGTTCTTAAGGGCTTAGATACAATCCCGGGGTCTGATGAGGTCTGCTACACCCGCAGCTATGTCTTTAGCTCTTAAAGGGAAATTGTTTGGTCCAATTACTTTAAGTGAACGCCATTATATAGCAGAATCTATGGTTGGTGGTGGTGGTGTTCAAACCGACCAACAAACAAAAAAAACGCTTTTATTTTGGAATAGTTTTACACTGATAGGAAAGTTGCAAAAATAGAGTCTGCATTAAGCCATGCACCCAGCTTCTCCTCATGTTAACATCTTACGTAACCATAGTACAGATATCAAAATCAGGATATTTATGTCGGTATAGTACTGTTAAGTAAATACAGTCTTCATTCGAATTTCACCAGCTCATCCATTAATCTCTTTTCCCTTTGCTCTGGGATCCCATGCGGGATCCGACAACATACTCAGGTGTGTTTCTTTAGTCTTTTTTCATCTGCGATGGTTCCTTGGTCTTTCCCTGCCTTTGATGATCATGGTATTCTTGAAGATAATTGGTCCGTGTTTTTATAGGATGTCTTTTAATTTGGGTGTGTCTGAGGATTTCTCACGATTAAGCTGAGGTTTGGTTACGCATTTTTGGCTGGGACACCGCGCAACTCTGTGAGTTATAAATGCGGTGCTATCGTTTTTTATTTTGTTATCAACCATTCCAGCTTTGGCCACTGGGAACGCCTTCCTGTCAGCTCTGTGTCCTTCGGACACACCCCGTCCTTTAAGCACTTCCTGTCAGGCGCACAAGGCACTCCAGGCTCATCTTGTGTTTTCTGTCTCGCCTGGGGAATCAGCCATATCTTTTTAGAGGCCTGGGTCCTTTTAGTGGCTATTAAATTGATGTTCAACAGAAGGGCCAAGACAATTTAGTGGGGAAAGAAACGTCTCTTCAGCAAATGGGACTAGAGCAGTTAGAGGTCTGCACGGAAGGAAAGTGAACATCTACCTAATTCCGTTCCGAAAATTCAACTTGAAATGTGTCGTAAGACATGAGTGTAACAGCTGAAACTGTGAAGTCTCCAGAAGAAAGCATAAGAGGAAAACCTCTGTAGCCTTGGAATAGGCAGGGATTTCCTAGAAGGACATAGAAAGCGTGACCTTTAAGAAAGAAAGAAAGAGGGAGAGAGAGAGAGGGAGGGAGAGAGAGAGAGGAAAAAGAAAGGAAGAAAAGAATAAATTGTGATTCATCAAAATTAAAAACTCTTCTTCAAAAGTCTCCATTAAGAACATGAAAAGATAATCTACAAGCCGGGGAAAATATTCATGATCTGCGTATCTAACAAAGGACTTGTATCCCGAAAGCACAAAGAATCTTACGATTCAAGAAGAAAATAGAAAACCCAGTTTCAAGAATGAGCAAATCTTTGAGCAGACATTTCACAAAAGAAGACTGATAAAATGGCCAGCGAGCACACACAGAGACACCCAGCATCCTTCTTTTCCGGGAAGCCCGCAAGCCCACGCCACGAACGTGGCCGAAATCAGAAAGACCAACATTCCCGAGAGCTGGCAGTAATCCCCGGCGATAGGAAGCCTCAGATGTTGCTCATTGGGATGGAGAATGGCACAACACTTTGGAAGACGGTGCGGCATTTCCTTACCCGGTGGAATACACCTTTAGCTGTATAACCAGTTCTGTGACATAACATCCACAAAGAAGATTTACACTCCAGTGTCCAAAACAGCTTTATTCACAGGAGCCGAACGCCGGAAAGCACCCAGAGGAACATGGGCGAGGGAACGCATAAACAAATTCTGGTACATCCATACAATGGAAAACCACTTAAAATTGTAAGAAACAAAGTATGGATATAAGCCACGGGGTGCTGAGTCTCGGGAACGTTTTGCTGAGCAAAAGAAGCAGATTGAAAAGTGCGTGCGCTTTGTGTTTCAAAGTGGGTGCCGTTCTAGAACGGACAAAATGAGGTATCGTCCATAGTGACAGGAAGGAAATGGGGAAGCAGGTTGAGCTGAACTGGTGCGGGGCCTTGTCCTCTGGACGGGTCACCCACCTTTGTCGTCTTCCTAGACCTCATCCTCTTGACTTCCTTCGTTTTGTCTGTCTGTTCGTTTTCAGGTGGATCTACCTTAACGACCAGAATTTATGCATCCCCGCCAGTTCTTCTTTTGTGTATGGAGCTGTCCCCATAGGAGCCAGCATTTACGTTATCGGAGATCTCGATACAGGTAAGCACGTTACGGCGATTTTGCTGGAGCGGTTTCTGGCGATTCCAAGACGTGTTCTTGTATCACCTGTGCTGCTTCTCGTGGTTCAGGTACCAATTACGACTACGTGCGTGAGTTTAAAAGAAGCACAGGGACGTGGCACCATACCAAACCGCTCCTCCCGTCCGACCTCCGCCGCACCGGCTGTGCAGCCTTACGTATTGCAAATTGCAAGCTTTTCCGCCTGCAGCTCCAGCAAGGCCTATTCCGTATCCGTGTTCATTCACCCTGAAGAGGCGGCAGAGCGGAGGCAGAGCTCCTGACCCAGCGCACCATAACATGGCTTTCTGCGAGGGGACCAGAGGTGGCAGCGTATCTCCGGTGGTTTTACTGTAACGCTTAGAAGCCCGCGCTTCAGCTCCTCTCGGGGAGAACCCGTAACTGTCGAAAAAGCTCCCTTGGAGGAATCCGTTCCTCCAGGTAGATGTGTCTGCAGACAAACGGAGTAACTATCCGGTAGAGGCAAAGGGAAGTGGGAATCGGGGTCATGTAAAATATCGAAGTTAGCGTACTAAGGTGCATTCTCCCGGAAGGGGACTCCTTTCCGAGCGACTGCTGTGTTCCAGTACCTGGCTTTGGGAAACAACAGAAATCCTATATGCAAATCAACATATCCAAACACACCGAGACTGCGTTCCTGCTGCACTTGGAAGGAAATATCATGCCTAACCCTGCCCGACAGATTCAGGTTTGTGCCTAAGATGTTAGATTGGGCCAGGTAGTCTCCACTTACTACTAGTACTGTGTCCTAAGAATCTTTTTTAAACTATATTATCATGAATTGAAACTAAGATAAAATTTCTCTCTCATGACGTTCTATCTTAGTAACCTAAAGGCTCGATAAATTAATGAGTCAGGTTGCAGCCCTCGTGCGAGTTTAAAGGCAGTTGCCAGCTTCTGTGTTGACTTAGATAACGTCATGCCATAATTTCTGGGGTAGTTCTCTCGGAGCTGTGAAGGGTCTCGTGCCGTGCCGTTCGTTCTTCCTGTTCAATTAACCAGAACCATTTTGTAAACACGAGGAGATTAGCAGAGTAAGGGATGTTACAGAGAAAGAACCGAGTCAGACAAGTGACCAAGGTCTGCTGTGGCTACAAAAGCTGTCCAGACAAAATATATAGGGATCAAAAAAACTTTAATCTGTCTGAAAGCACACAGAGTCTCGTTTACTACTGTTTCGGATTGAAAACCTGTCTTAGCGCGCGAACCTGCATTAAGAATCTAGTCTTCGTAGCAGAGTTTTCTCGATGCCGTTCACTAGCAAGAGTTTTAGACAAATTACGTTATAAGTAAAGTTTGGCTGGTAGAATAAAACTACCTCAACTGAATTTCATTCTGTTCATAGTAGAGCGAATTCATCTCTTCTCTGCTTCTCCACTCTCCCACCTTCCCTTGTCTCCCCATGCGGCCGCACTTCCCACCGCGGGGAGAAAATCTGTCATTAGTAGCACTTACCTTGTAAGATACTTTGTTTTCCATTCAAGTTATGCCACCTTAGTGTGAGATCAGGGACTTCCAAGTGCTTGATCACGTCATAATTTGAATTTTATGTAACAGCAGGTTTCTAATCGATTTAATACAGAGCTCTTCAATTTTAATTGTTTTCTACAGTTTCCACCGCCCTCAGTAAATGGCTGTAAGAAGCAGTATTTTGTCTTAATGATTAATAAATGTGTAAATGTATCCTTTGCTTATACATTTGAGAATAGGAGTTTCTTCTAGAAACTTCCTAGATGGAATGCTTATACGCTGTTAACATGCATAGGAAACCTCGCTTGTGTTTCCCCAACCGTGAACAGAAAAAAGGGTAACCTCCTATCTGCAGTTTTTTTTTTTCTTACACCTGTTAGGAGTCAGTACGATGCTGTAAACGTTGCTGAAGGAAGACTTGTCGGGGTGGGGTGGGGGGGGGGGTTCTAAAGAATGTTGTATGTGGAGAAGTTACTGCTGAAAGAAGGCGTGAGGTGTCTATCTTCTGTATCAGAGGCCCCGGGCCAGATTTGCCACACATTCACGTAACACAGTCGAATTCGATACGTAAAGCAAAGCCGGCCTTTTTCCTCTGAATTGTGTACCAGTCAGCTGTTGTCCGCACACCGTCCCAGTGATACCTGGGATATCTTCTCATCAAAGCAAGCTACACGGCCACTGCAAAGAAAGCAGACTTTCTTTTTTTACAGCTAGATACTCGTTTTTTAGAGGAAACAAATTGCTGAAGAAGTGAATTTTCTTTGGTAAAATCTCCTGAACAGAACAGAACCTTGGCCTTCAGAAGTTGCATCTGACATACATTAAAGCAGTAACTGATGTCCTGTGAAAGCCAAGGCAGGCTTTCTCTTAATTCTTAATTCTCTTAATAAGCCATTCTCTTAATTTCTGAAGTTTATAATTCTTCCCAGTGCACACCAGGCCTCTCCAAGGAGACAATTCATCGTTTAGGAGTGAATGGGTTATTGCAATATTATTGCAATATTATCAGTGCCTGCATGACTTAGTCAATTCATTTTATAAAAACAGTTCTTTTTTAGTTTTTTATTCAGTTCATTGACACGGTAGCTGCAGAAATTAGATAATGTTTTTTAAAATAAATTTGCCACATAATACGGGATGCAATAACCAACAAGAACTGCTAAGTGCCAAACTGTTATTTTCCTATATATAAATATAAAAATATTCTGCTGAAGGGTAGGAATATATTTAATTTTATTAGGCTCCAAAATTAATCGTGACTTTTTTGTAAATGACAGTTACTTCAGTATTGTGAAATAAATTTTAAGTCATTTCATGCAGGTTTGTTTTAACATTCCACTTATGCCTTGAAACATCTTTTTCTCGATAAATTTTTAATACTTCTTTTTCCGTAAGGCACTTTTACCAGGCATAGGTTGGAATAGGCAGTTGAGGATAGATGTTAAAATTTTAAATAAATATCATTGGGGGAAGTGCAATTTATTTTCATTATCCCGCCAACAGAAGGAAACTTGTTTCGGGGTTAGAGTCAGTGAATATTTAAAGGATCTCTCGTAGGCTACAGTCTAAAGTAGGCTTGTTTGTTTGTTTGTTTGTTTAACACATCCAAATATAGATTTTTCAAAGATATAAGTGTTTAATTTAAAATGAAGTGCTGTTTTGGGGGTTTGTTTTTTGTTTTTCATTTTGTGTGTGTGTGTGTGAGTGTGTGTTAGTGCTTCTATCCTGTGAGAGGGAAAAGTGTGAGGGACAGAGTGTGTGTGTGTGTGTGTGTGTGTGTGTGTGTGTGTGTGTGTGTGTGTTATGTGACTCGGTAAGTCTGTTTATACATGTTTACTTTTGAAATTGTAGTTCCAAACTACATATATTACTGTCTCCTGGTGCTTCCGATAAATCCTTGAGCCTGTGGCCCTTCAGTTTATACTACTATGTTCAACTCACGTTGGGTGTAAATATTCATAGAGTCGTAGTCTGTATAGTAAGTTTTACCTGGTGTTCGCATTCCTTCAGTGGGACTAAAACAGTGCTTACCAACTAGTATAGTCGATATAGCTATAAAGATTTGGCCTTGGAAATCTTTGAACTCATTGTTCCTTTCGTTTGTTCTTTATTTCATTGCTTTGAGGAGTTGATAGGTAACAGTAGGCTGTTTTCAAACCGCAGCAACCAGAAAAGAATATTTGGGCGATGATGGATGGTGTATTCCCTGTGCTAAAGTGTCCTGTTATATTGTACTACCACTTTCATGATGCTTTGGGGTGCCATTTTTATAATTCGTGGGTGGGAGGGGGTTCCCTGCAATATGCAGGAAGCACATCCTTACATTGACCTGGTAGAGATAGGGCTGTCTTTGCTGTGTCGCCTCAGTTACTCATGGTAGTAAGATAGGTTTTTAGAGAAATTCGTCAGCTGCCTTGGTCCGTTGGGGTTCCATTTGGTACGTTCCTCCTCCCGTGTACCAGACCAAAAAGTTTCCCAAGGAGTGCTAAAAATGCTACAGCATTACCTTCTTGTTGGCCTTTCTGATTCTAGAGGATGCCTCCTGTGGTCAGATGGAGACATTTGAATATCTGGGGAAAGAATGAGGTGGCACTTTGCATGGATTTATTTATTTATTCTTTAATGTTTGGGTTTTGGTTTTTGTTTTTTGTTTTTGTTTGTTTGTTTTTTGAGAGAGCTTGAGCAGGGGAAGGGGACAGAGAACCAGAAGCAGACTCTGCAATGACCACAGAGAGCCCGACGCGGGGCTTGAACGCACGAGCCCTGAGATAATGGCCCGAGCCGAGGTCAGACACTCGGCCAGCTGAGCCACCCAGGCACCCCTGCGTGGATTTAAAAGGTGCTGGGACCCCCTTCAAAAGCACCTGGTGGAAGGGAAGCGTGAGCTTGCTCTCGTTCCGTGGCTGCCCCTCACGTCTGTGAGAGCCTTGGGGGAGCCAGGAAGGGAGGAGACGGATTTGGACAGAAAAGCTGCCCTGGGTTTAATCAGCAAATGCTTATGGAGGACCCCCTAGGCATTCTGCTTGGATTTCTGGGGGGCTGTCATGCTGCTCTCCCTCTAGACCGTAAACTCCTCGTGGGCAGTGACCCTGTCTTGGCCGTCTGGTAACCCCAGTGCCTGGCACACAGCAGGTAGTCAGGAAATGGTTGGCCAGTGAGTACAGTACCCTTGTGATCAAAGTGATGTTCTTTGTGGGATTGAGAAGCCCTCTCCAAGAGCGATTTGTTTTGTTGGATTTTAAATGAGAGGCTTTGTATGCACATGTGCTGGCCTCATATTCTAGAGTGAGAAACTAGTACGGATAAAAAACACAAAGTGCCTGACGTACAGACGCACACTTCTGTGGTTTCCATATGTTCTTTAGGATTTGGAGGACCCTACTATACTCAGCACACCTCATACCACTGATCACATTTAGTGTTGGGATTGATTGCTTTTTACACGTGCCTCTGGGTGTTTTCCAGAACATACTGCTGTGATCCTCACTTCTCCGTGATGGGTGCAGTGGCCCCACTGGACAGAGAGCAGTCTCTGAGGCCCAGGAGATATGGCTTCATTTCCCACCTCACATGCAAGTAGAAACCCAAAGCAGAAGCCAGGTCTTTGTATTATCATTTCACCGTTCAGCCTCTGAGAAGATCGCTTAATTTTCTAGGCGTGCAAGTATTTTCAGTCCTAAAATAATCATTTGTGGTATAACGTAAGCCCTCAAACATGTCCTTTAAAGTTATACAGACATAAGCTGAAAGATCTTTGGTTTT